TGTTCTTCTTTCTCAAGCAAATTTCTGCGTTATCACTGCAGAAATTTCTCTCCGGAAAATTAAGCATTTTTGAAAATTTCTTCAAGCACTTTCTAGCCAGCTATTTTTATTTTTGAAATCTCAAATGAAAATCAATCTGACTTTAACCCATAAGGTAGTCTTTTAACTCATTTCTGTAAAATTTTGCGACTAGACTTATAGAAAACTATTTATTTTAAAGAGAAAAAAATATGTTTTGATTGAAAATTCAGTCATGATTAAAAGAAAGAAAATTCCATTACTATTCAATTATTAGGGAAACTTTTAAGTACTGAGTTTTGATGAACCTAGCCAGCCAGTGCTTAGCTGAAACAAATAGTACACGAACATTAAATCTTTCATAATATATTTTCCTGTTTTTCAACCCATTCAGTATGCATGTACCCACATAGTACTTTTCTCTCTATGTGAGTAGCGGGTTCTTGTTTTTTTTTCCTTTTTAGAAATCTTGGTGAGAAACAGGAATTTTGTGGTAATTGGGTTTGAAAATCTGGGTCTGAAAATCCTTTCAAACGCTATATTTTTTCGTTTTACAAATAACACAATGGTGATGATGGTCAGCATTCCACAGCATTCGTATTTATCGTGTTGACGATATCGATCGTTGTAAATGCTGAGAGATATCGATCAACGTGTGGCAACGTTTTTTGAAATATCGAACAATATCTTTTTGGAACATCAAAGAATATTAGAAACGGTGTTCATTTTTATACTGCACAATATTTCGCTGTGATATCATACGATATTCGAAACAGCGTTTTTACTATATCGTTTTTGAGATGTGTGCTACTTGGGATAGATACTATGAAACTCACTATGTTCTTCAATGATTTGCCTATAAACAAATTCACTGCTATTTATTGCTGACTTACTTTATGACTATTTATTGCTATTTACTGATTGGTATCCTTTAATTCTTCATTCTTACTTTACTCACTCGCTGTATCTAAAATTACTCATGATGACAGTTTTCATGACGAAGCGTACTCTTAATAAATCGTTATGAAATATATTTTCTTAAAATAACTGTTTAAAATAAATCAAAAATGACCTTATATAAAACACATTATTAAACGAACGGGCAGTCGTCATAGTAATATTAAATGACTATTCCTATCAAATAACTTTTGGGAAAGATTAGATATTCTCTACTCAGACTATTATTAGTACATAAAACTATATAGGAAAACAAATATAGAGATAAATAAGAAACTACGTGCAACGCTAAATACAAAATAATAAACGTTTAGATAAATCAGATGAACAGAAAGCCTCTATGGGGCAATATTTTTAGCGAAAAAAAGTCTTACTTTAGTTTCTCAGAAAATCTTTTAATATTTATTTCAAATATGTATCGAGGAAAAAAATATATAAGATATTGTAAAAGTGTACATGTTTCTTGTTGTTTACTTAAAACTTATTATGATCCTGGTAATTATCTAAGCATTTTGGAAATTAACCTTTGGTCTTGTTCCTAAATAGTCCCAATTTCTTAAAAAATCTGAGGAGATTTGGAAGAAAAATTTCAATTTAAATTACATTTTGAGACGAAATAAAAGTACTTTCTACAGGTATTAAGATTTGTATCAGCAGATTCACTTTATATTAAGAGTACGTTTGACACAAAATTTGAGGTCATGGTCATTCTTGAAGGTCACTACTCCCCCAGTTTTTCTCTTTCATTCACCTTTTGAGATTATTGGCTTGTTTGCTCTTCTTTCAATCTTTATTAAAACCATTATTTAGAGAACTTTTAACCATGAAAAAAGTGAATATATAATTAATAAAAAATAATCTGCAAAGGTTTTTTAAAGTAGACAAATTTTAAAAAAAGGAGGAAATAAATAATTTACAGAGCATTAAACCAGGGTCTCGTTCGGCTCCCCCCCCCCGCTTACCTTTAGGCTATCGCCCGCCTCTTTCGCAGGGACTGGTTGATTTATTTCAAGTTAAAACTAAAATTTATTGAGTATTGAGTATAGTAAAGTGCGGCGTGTTCTCTGCTTTCGCTTATATCACTGCGTTTCAATAGGTAAGGCTTAATTTAGCCTATCAAGATTTATTTGAGCTCTGAGGCTCTTCTTCAAATACGACATGCTACCACGAAATCCAACAGCCTTGTCGTCCAACTAAAATTTATTTTTTGAAACATCCACAAAACCAACTAACTCCTCACTCAGCCTGCGTACTCAATAAAAGGAACGGCTTATAAACCCTTTTTAAATTGATTTTACTTATTTATGCGTTGTTGCACATCCTTAAACAGGTTTGTTTGTTTATTGCAAAAAATGGCTAATATCCCCTTGTCAAGTTGTAAAACAAAATGAAGAAGGACAAGAACAGAGATACAATATAGATTTACGATGGAATTCAAACTATTTCTGAGCCTCATGGCATTTGGCAATACTTCCAGATTACGGAGATTTTTTCTCACTTTGTGCTGCGTTTGTGTTTGCATTTGGTGAAGTATTTATTCATGTATGAATGAATAAATAAATAAATATGTATTTTACGTTCCGGCGGTTCGATTAGTGCCCAATTTTTCATTTCCTTTTGTGCTGTCCTTCTACAATTTTTGTTTTCTGTATTGGTTATTGGTTATTGCAATTACATAAATTTTCAGGCTTGTGTGCTTAAAACAGGCTTGTAAATCTTCGTCAAGTAGAAAAGGACAGATAGCACAATAGGAGAGACAGCACCAAGTAGTACCCTTGTTTTCTGTATTTCAAATGGAAGTGCTACACAGGTCAGGAGCAGTCAGTTAGGGTGACGCTTGTATCGTTGGAGTTCCACAGTGGACTTATCGTAAAGACACGGTTCCCAGTAGAACATCGAAGTCAAGCATCACTGTCGATGGTCAGTAAGCGGGTGGGAGACCACTTTTATCAGCCTGCGTAGGGACCGCGGATGAGCGGTATCGGCCCTCGGTAAACTGTTCTACCGTAAAATGCTAGACGTCAAGCGCAGGTAGTCGGGCTACCGAAGCAGAAGAGCCACCCCTCCTGTAGAAGAACAAAATTGAGATGGCATGTCTTCGGATCATCCTCAGGGATGATGCCCAGACTGTCGCCAATAGCCCATTGTGAAGCTCCAGTGCAATGCAATTAAAGTACCTACCGTACTTACATCGTATCGTTGGCTGAAAACTGAGGATCACGAGTTTGATCCTGCTGACCGACAAACCAACCACGTGAAATACACCCAGCAGACTTTGTAAGGCGCACAGAAACTGCGTACATATGCGCAACCATAAATACAATTTACAAGAAGTTTATTGCAAGTTTTAGGTTGTCAACAAAAGCCTGTTCTGCTTGCATAAATTCTGAAAGAATTACTGCACTTAATCTAAATACTACGAAGTTCGAAGGTAGTAGGTTCGGTTCTTATCGTAACCATCGATTCTCTTTTCATTTCTCTCCTCTGTCTATCTGTAATTCGTGTTATCGGTTTTAAATTTGCATACCGTATGCCTTTTGTCAACCCGGCAATTTCGCTGTTGTTGTTGTTCATTTACGTCGTACTAGAGTTGCACAATGGGTTATTGACGACGGTCTGGGAAACATCCCTGAGGATGATCCGAAGACATGCCATCACAATTTTGATCCTCTGCGGAGGGAATGGCACCCCCGCTTCGGTAGCCCGACGACCTGCACGCGGAGTCAAGCACTTTACGGTAGAACAGTTTAACGAGGACCAATGCCGCATACCTTTGGTCCCCAAGCAGACTGATCAAAGTGGTCACCCACCCGCACACTGACCGCAGCCAGTGATGCTTCACTTCGGTGATCTGCTCAATCCGGCAATTTAAAATTTATTACTTTTTATTAGATGCATAGATTTCTTTGTTCAATATTAGGTAGGTGGGTACATTATTTACGGTCGCACTGGAGCTGCACAATGGGCTATTGGCAACGGTCGGGGGAACATCCTTGCGAATGATCCTAAGACATACCATCGCAATTTTGATCTTCTTCAGAGGGGATGGCCCCCCTGCTTTGGTAGCCCGACTACCTGTGCACGAAGTCGAGCACTTTACGGTAGAACAGTTTAACGAGAACCGATACCGCGCACATTCGGTCCCTACGTAGGCTGATCAAAGTGGTCACCCATCCGCATACTGACCGAAGCCAGTGATGCTTAACTTCGTGGTTCTACGTTCAATATTAGGAATGTTAACCCTGCTCAAATTGATATGTAAACTTCCTCACCTAACTCCCTCACCCATCTCATATAAAGACAATATAAAAAAGCCAAAGGTTCATCTTGAGTTTGGAGACGAACTTGTTACTGCTTCACTTCAGAGAGTTTATCGAAAAGACAATAGGATGTAGCCACGAAGACCTCAATACTTATGTTATGTAGTGCATGTATATATGCTACATTAGATAATTATTAAAGACGTGATTCCCTGATTCATTCACCACTGGAGAGACTTTAAGTAAGTACTGTGGTCGGTAAGAGCATGTAGCAGAATAGGAATTGACAAGCCATTTCCAGGATTCGATACAGGATCGACTCGTTTTATTGAGAAGTGAGACTTCTATTCTTAAAGCCATTTTGGCTCCGTAAGAGCTATATTATAAATTTGAAACTATAATTTATCAATTACTTGTGATTGCGTTGGTTTTACTTGAAATAAGGGCAAGTAATTGGCGTGTTTTTCGTCTACTACGGCTTGGATTGAGGTTCAATTCCCTAAGCTTAAGGAGGATACTTTTTCTGATATTGTGTCAGTGGTTTGAAATCCTCTGTTACGTAATGTCCCCGGTGGTTCAAGAGCCTGGAAATTCCATGCTTGAACGGGTTGGTAGTGTGGTATGACGGCTGGATGACTCTTACCAATCTCTGCTCTCTAATGAAATTAGTAGTGAAGTCTGCATTTGCGCATTTAGTATTGCCTTCGAATCATCATTAAGGATGAATTCCAGATTCAATAGTCCAATAGTGTAACTTTAATGTAACGTTAACAACTAAACCAAACTTAAAATAAGAGCTTTTAGGCGATTTGCTTAAAAGCTGTGTTTTTTAGTAATTTCTTAGCATGAACCTGTGACCTTATCTGTCTTATCTTAATACTTTGGCTACAGAAACTACTTTCACTGACATTTAGAAATTATAATTTGTTCATACTGCGCATATGGTAAAGCATATACGCAAGTTGATATAAATTAATCTCTTTATTTTTGTTCTGGTTCTGATGTCTGTATTTTTGATAGGAAAATATTGATTAGTTAAGATAATACATTTCTTAATTTTTAAATTATGGCAAGAGTAATGTCCATCTCACAAGACTGTCTTTTAAAGGACCCAGTTTCAATTGAGAGGCCTGCATCTGTGCTTAGAAGCAAGAAATTAAGAACAGTCTTACTTTTGCTAGGAATAACATTTTCTGTTATTGGTATTGTGGGATATTCCATTTTTCCGAATTTGTTTAGAGTCTTAATAGCAAAGGTATGTTTTTATAATTTCTTAAAACTTATTTTATGTTAGTATTATTTCAGTTGTTTTGATTATTTTCTAATTTTCAATATTTAAAAATATAGTTTTGTGAGTTACTAAAATATAGAGCTTCCAAAAGTATTGAGTTTGAAGCTAAATTTCCCGAATGTGAGCACACAATTTTGTAGTAAGGGCTCACAACTGGTATTTCACTGATTTGTATTTAGCGTCCCTTTAAAATGGTGGTTCCTCTATTTTAACTGAAAAAAGGGGAAGAATAAGTGTTTCATTATTGGAATTTATTTTTCAGAAATAAGATAGTTTTGTTTGCCATAATATATTAATATAAATATTTATATTTGAATCTGAGGCAAAATCAGTGTTTTTTAATGCTAAAAAGATAGGTTAGAAAGATATCTACTTGATATTAAAAATTTGCACTTTTTCATACAGGTATTTATGATATAGAAACCACTTTTTTGTGGTTGTGCATAATGTGTTAAATTTCTAGAAGTTTCTTATTTCAGCGACTAAATTTAAATGAGTTTAACGCAATACAAAATGAAGGTAATAAAAATGAAAATGAAGGTAATAAAATTGTTCCAAAAATGAAGGTAATAAAATATATCTAAAAGAAACAATGTAATGAAACTTTTTATTAAATTTCAATGCTGAACCTGTTACAGAATAGCATTAAAATCTTCAAATTTGTTTTATGTCGTAACGCAGTACCAGAGTGAAATGTTTAATTCATAATTTATATTCCATGAATTAAGAGTAAAACTAGATTCTTCTAAAACTAGAATATATTTTCTTAAAACTAGTTAAGCTAGATTTGACTTGAAAGATCCGAACTCATCAAAAAAATTTCAGTCTTATTAACTTTAGATTAATATACTGTGGAACGCGAGTTAATCTAGATTTATAAGTAATGGCGATAGATGGCACTGTTGACACTTAAACTGATTGACTTTAAGAGACTGTTCATGGTATCACTCAACTGCATTTGTATATTCCATCTAATAACTAGACTTGTTTATCAAACGCTGACGCTGATTTAATAAACTATTAAGGGGTTCTCTTCAAATAGATCTAGAAGACACTTATTAGTTTCTATAATAAGATAGCTTTTTAAACAATTTGTCTTCAAAATAGTTATTGTGTGCTTTGAGATTTATATAACCATTTGAATTTTTTCATCGGAGTATATTTCATAATCTGAATGTTAAGAGTATGTGAAACATACGTTGCCAAATTCATTAAATCTATAATTCATAAGTTAACTGAACATTTTTTTTATTAATAATTAGTTTCATTTGGGTATTTCTTAAGAAAATAGTTTCTGATTTTAAGCCTGTAACTGAAAAATAGTAAGTTTGTTGAAAAGATTTTGAATTCCAAGGAATACAAATTTTTAAATTATTTTAAACCATGCGAATTTTAAATAATAAAATATAAAATTGTATCGAAGTTGGTAAAATAGTTTAAGCTAGAAAACTTCTAAAGTCGTATATTTGAATTTACCTTCCTCAAACTATGCGACTGATTTCACAAAAACTTGTTTCTAATAATTTAAAATTACATAGTTTAGAATGAGATAAAAACCATCTGTTTGGCTTAAAATTCAAACTCCTGCGTGAAAAAAGAGAAATGCTTGCTATCTTACAAGTCAATCCTTAAATCCCATTTTATAACTAGACAAGATTCACCTGTGTCCACAAATCAACATTCATATATGTAAGGAAATGCAGTTAAATCTAAGAAAAATTGAAGATCTATGAGCCTGATATTTCTAATTGTGTAAGTTTTTCCTCAAGTTATCTGCAGAGTCAGTTCTAAGAATTATTTTCACCTATTTTTCCTTAATTATACGTCAGTTTAATACGATAAATGACTCTAATTTCCGTGTTCAAGAAATGAGTGACATTATCTTCCGAATTTTTCTTTCGAACTCAGTGTTTATAAAAGTATACAATATTGCAATAAAATTGTTATCAAAAATCTGACAAGAAATTGAATTATATGTTAAAATTTTTACCATTTTAAAAACTTAGAAATAGAGTAGTTTTTAGTGTTTTAAGAATACCTTGCACATTAGCATAGTCGTATGCGTACGGAAATGACATTTTTCAACATCAGGCACTTCAGTTTTTTAGTCCTTTATACTGCATCTTGAGAACAAACGTTCAATATATTGGACAGCATTTGGTAAAATTTCATAACTTCAAAGATATTTTTGTCTTTGTCACAATAAAAAATATTTACTCTCGTTTGTTAGAATTTTCTGAAAATTACAATAAAGGTAACGAGCAAGATTGAATTAAACTTTTGAACAGTTCTACGGCATAAAAATCTTATTTGAATTTAGTGCAGTTTGTTTTATGTCAAGAAATTCACTATAAAGAGTTCTGTAGTACGCAAAAAATGTTAAAATTTATCATTAAGAATAATTAAAAACACATTATTTTTAAATATTTCATCGCATTTAAATTTCTACATATTACTAAGTAAAAATTAGTCTTTATCTAAAGGTCTCGGAAGGATATACAGTTTAATTAGGGTAAAATGATCCTGAGTTAGTACCCTTCTAAATGACCATAAGAAGGATACACACATGTGGCTTCATAGAACTCACGTGTGCATCCTTCCTCGGAAACAAAGGGTTCTGTAGAAGGATGACAATGGTTTCGAGAGATCCAATATTTTTAACCAGAAATAATATTTATATACAATCAATCCATAGCTTAATATTTCGCTTGTCTATGAACTTTGTAAAAATGCGAAAGAAAAAGGTAGCAAATTTAAAATATATATATAGGGGAGAGTCGGGTAGCCCCGCCCAGCGGGTACCCTCGCCCACTGTCAGTTTCATATGTATAGAATATTTTTTCAAGTCAATGGGCCATCAGACATTAATTGTTATATTAAAAAAATATTCTATTCAAAGTTTTAAGTATTTATGAAGCTGTTAACNTTCTTTTTTTGGTTCATTCTTTTTGCATTATTTAATTAGATGATAAAACAATAGAAACATACAAAATTGTTGATTATTATTTAGTATTATACAGAAATATAAGCAATACTCCTTAAGTGAGCGGGGCTACCCGACTCTCCCCTACATATATATTTCAATAACTGTATATTGTGTAAATCATGAAAAGATTACGAATTTATTAAAATTTTAGAAGTACTTCTCATCGAGTTTTTCTTTCAAAAGATCAAAATTAAAGAATAAAGAATTAAGTTTTTCTGAACTATTTTCATCGTTTATAACAAGAGTTCTTTTTTTAAAATTTCATCTTATTAAATATTTCAGTCCACACATTAAATAATTTTAAAATAATTAAATTTTTTTTTGTTTTGTTAGTATACACACAGTTGCTAATTAACTTTTTTTTTTTAATGGTGCTAGTGTTCCGCCCAAAAAAGCTCTATCATTTATTGTTTCATAGACGAAAAAAATTAAACCACTGACATAACCACTTTCGTTCAGTTGGTCCAATGGCTTCCCCCCCACACTATTCGTGAATATTTCGTAGATTTAAAAAATATCTGACTGTGGAAATTGAATGCAGTTTGGAATTGACGTTAACTATTTGCGCAATCGAAGTCTTTTAATATACTCATGCTGACAATTAAAATAACTGATTATTAACAACCACAGAAGCGCAGTTGCTACAGCTTTATAAATTTTAATAATTTCAAAAATAGTACTTAACAAACGCGTTTTATACTCTCGACCCATTTTTAAAAATGTAAGTCCTCATGACATGAAACAGTGGACAGAATGTAAAAATTAAATATTTACCGCTATACTCATTTATAAACCAATACCTTAAGAGCATTAAGAATTGAACACAAAATATATCGTTCTTCAAGCATGTTATTCAATTACTATACAATAATATTTATCTCTGACCCAATTTTGAGTTTACAACTATCACTGTTCACTTCCGCATCCTCGTAATTTTGAACTCTATTCAGAAGACAAGGGAACTCCTGGGTCCAGTATTTCGAGAAATTTGCCTTCAATGAACACTTTTTGATGGAACTAACCAGCATTTGCGTTACATATAGAGGAAAACCATGAACACCACCCACGATTATCCTGATGGCAAGGGGACTCTAACTCATGATCAATCCACTACTGAGGATATTTATACGTCAGCACTGTGGTCGGCGCGAGCCGGGTGCAGAATTCGTATCGACCAGCCATCGCTGGAATTCGAACTCTCATTGGGAGGTGAGTGCTCTATCCCTTGAGCCACCACGGCTCAATACAATCATATTGAGCTCCATTAACCACTGCATATTAATTTAGTTTCTAAAATTTCTAAGAGATTGAAGCAGCTGAGCATATGAGCAAACTGGTTTACATCTCTCCTAGTGTTTTAAAAAAGTTTTTATCAGCATTCGTGTACGTAGAAAATTTTTTCTCATAAAAAAACGATCAAAATTAATGTTTAATCTCAAATATCCTTTAGTGGGTTTTTATTTACTAACTTTAAACGTTTTACACTTTTATTTATAAATTAAGTGATATATTTAAATTTTGAGTTTTAATTTTTGTACTAAATTAAGAAATGTTATTAGTTAAATAATTTCTTTAAAGCAGATACATGGGCAATATCAAGAAATATTTCTGTTACAAAAACATGCACATGAAAAAATAGAATAAATAGTATAGTAAACCATAGCATTGCTTCCTTGAACCGTTATACCATGAGAACTAGTTGCAACTTGAACGCGTTAAATTAAACCATTGTTTCATGTTTTAAAGACTGATAAAAAAAAGTTAAACTTTACATATAGGATTTTAAAACAATTGTTATAAGATTTGTTATAAAAATAGGATGAATACGCGCTATGGAACATCTATTTAAGGCATATTATTATCTGGAATTCTAAAATCGTAAAAATTTGCAACTTTAATGCAATGAATTCAATCCTGCTTCTTTTTAAGTTCATTTCTGCTTCGTAGATGAACCAAAATCAATTTAGTATCGGATTAG